ATCTTACATATAAAATTCTCGTGTCGCAATGTTAGTTACCATACTCCTCCGAAACGGCTTGACGGATTTTTATGAAATTTTATATGTATATTCAGTAGGTCTAAGAATCGGTTACTATCTATTTTTCATACCCCTAAGTCATGAGAGTTGTCCACCCCTAACAATTTTTTTTAGTTTTTGGATAATTTTTTTTTTACTATATTATTTATATAACCCTAGATTTTCACCCTTCTATCACCAACCCCAATTTTTTTATAGCGTTATTAATTTATATGGCAAAATTTTTGCGGGGTCAGCTAGTATTAATATAATAATATATCTTATAATTCATAGTAGTTCCTAGCTAAGCAAAGTTGGGCAATGGGCACTAGATAATTAATACAAATACAACCCGATACAAACAATACTCATGAATACACAAATGTTTGTGTCTTACGAGGAATCGAACCAGCGACCATCAGAAGTAAGGTGCGCTAAACCGCTAGACCATCGAGGCCATCTAACCTTGATAGTGTTAGTTACATAATATAACTTAATGTCAAAATTCTTTAAAATCCGCTCAGCCGTGAAAAGTGATTAAACAAACAGACACATTTTCGCATTTTAATTATTAGTATGGATAGGTATTAATTTTTATATGCAGTCATAGTTTTTCTAATATACTAAATAAGATAATGCTCTCAAGCAATAAAAACAATTAAACAATAAACTGATAATTGGCTGGTTTAAATTAAATATGATTTGGGCGTTTACTTAAATACGCAAAGTAAATACAGACTGCATAAACAAATACATAATTATGAAACAACAGAACAGTCTTCAAAAGATGTCTGCAGTTTAAATAAAATTATTGAATATTTTCGGTAACCCCTTACGTGGATAACCCGTATGTATTAAAGGGTTTTACTGAAGGGTTTTTTTTTAATTTTTTCGTAAACCCCTTACGTGGTTAATCCGTATGTAGAGTTTAGTTCAAAAGATGTCTAAAGTTTAAATAAAATTATTGAATATTTTCGGAAACCCCATACGTGGATAACCCGTATGTATTAAAGGGTTTTTTGATTTTTTCGTAAACCCCTTACGTTGGTAACCCGTATGTATTTAATAGATTTAGTTCAAAATATGCCTGAAATTTTTATAAAATTATTAAGTGTTTTTGGAAACCCCTTACATGGGTAACCCGTACGTATTAAAGTGTTTTTACCTCCAAAAGATGCCTCAAAGTTTTAATAAAGTTATTAAGTGTTTTTGGAAACCCCTCACTTGGGTAACCCGTATGTATTAAAGAATTTTATTCAAAAGATGTCTGAAGTTTTAATAAAAAATTCGGAAATACCTTACATGTGTAACTCATATGTATTAAAGAGTTTTATCTCATGATCAGAACATAATTATTTGGAGTTTGAATAAAGGTTTCGAATTTTGCAGAAAATCCCTTGTTTGGGGTTGGGGTACATGGGGTTATTTTTAAAGGAATAGGTTGTTTTCAGAGTGTAGTGTAGGATCACAATCGTGAGTATGTTAGCTCCACTATAAATTACTCCTACTATCTTCATGCTTCTGTCTATCTCAGTAAGATGTAGTGCTACAGATCTGAAGCTCCTGACAATAGCCTAAACCCCTCAATACAAAAATACCCGCGGCCTCATAGAAATAGAAATAATCTTTATTCAAATAAACTTAATATAAGCACTTTTGAATAGTCACATCTTTTTATTCTACCACTCATTCGGAACGCAGACTCATCACAAGAAGAATGAGCAAGAAACTTGTGTGTTGCTCTTTTGAATCATCTGCACAAACTGTTATTTTCTACTTTAATACCTTCAAGAACATAAATGTGAAATGATAGCCGAGTTTAATATTATGATATATGCCTTGATTGTTGACTTCTACGACAAAAGAGATGAGATCTAAATGGGTGCCAAGTTCAATGGTCTGTCCTGAAATGTATTTATAACAATATAAAATATCATTTCTTCTTATAACTTAGGACAATAACTGTGTCCTCATTGCAATCTAAGTTGATTTCAATTTTCTAAAATCCGTTCAGCCGGTTTATACGTGAAAAGAATATCCTTAAATTTATAAGTTCACTACTTAGACCAATAAGGGACAATCTGATAGGTTTTTTTTTTTCAAAGTTCCCCTTTTTAAAAGTACGCTACCTAGCGAACTTTGAAAAAGGGGGAGCACAATAGATCTTGGTAGGACGCAGTGCTTCAGATCTAAAGCACCTGGAACAGAAGCCCAAACCCTTCATTAAAATATATATAACCTTTGCGACTAAACCAGTAGAGTTCGTTTAATTCAAAATTTTATTACTTATACAGGGTCCTTATGTTTTGGAACCACTGGTCGTATACAAAATTTAATTCAAAATAATTATTATTTATTCAAGGTCCTTGTAAGTTTGGGAACTACTGGTCGTATACGTAATTTAATTTAAAATGATTATTAATTATACAGGGTCCTTGTAAGTTTGGGAAGCACTGGTCTAACCATAATGTAATTGCTCGTCCACGACTGTTCATAGTTGCAGTTAGTTATGTTTGAGCTAGAGGCACGACCACGCCTCCAAAATGACATGTTGATCAAATATTTACTATGTTTATTGAATACGTCATTATGGTCACGAACTATATACATTATCTATACATTTAAATAAAATTGGAGTGTCTGTTTGTAATATTAAAATAAGCATTTTTTACTACATGCCTATCAATATAAATATGGTACATACACCAAAATAGCATTTTTTACAATTTTTGTCTGTCTGTTTGTTCCGGCTTATCTCTGAAATGGCTGGACCGATTTTGACGGGTTTTTTTTGGCAGGTAGCTGATGTAATAAGGAGTAACTTAGGCTTCTTTTATTTTAGAAAAATAAAGTTAAATTTCACGCGGACGAAGTCGCGGGTAGTTGATAAAATATAAAGAAATTGCATGTAAAATAGTAAAAACAACTATTTTATTTCCCCATACAAACTGTACGTACCTGTCAAACAGGGAATATGCGGAGTCAGCTAGTAAAATATAAATATAAAATATCTGTGTGATCACGGCACTGATGACGGCAATCTGCCACGGTAGCGCCGATACACCACACCCTTCGGCCAGTAGCCCTCCTTCATGAAAATTAGCAGCATGTAGGTAGGTTAGGTAGGACTCATACATTTTTACGGGTCTACATGGCTATATAATTGAAGTTCGTCAACATGTAGGTGGACACATACCTTCTTACTGGTCTAGATGGCTATATAACTAAAGTCATTCTAAGTTAGCCATATATGATATAATATTTTTGCACATCACAAGCAAATAGTGACGCTAATCATAGCTGATAACAAATTTGTTATCATGAATGATTATCGCATGTGACGTAACTTGTCGCTGCTTAAAATAATTCTATTTTAGGTAAATACAACATAGTGTAAACACAAACGTACATACGATTGTAATCTGGATGGTAGACATTTTTAAACTAGTGATAACGGGCTATTCTAGACTAACGCTATACCCTTTTAAATAGATAGATGGATAGATAGATAAAAATTTTATTCACGTTAAAGGCACACACACACACAACGGTAATAATAAGAACAAAAATAAAACAGCATTCGCCAAAATACAATACACACAATTATACAGATAAAATAAAATGCAATACAGATAACTGGTATGAGTACACTAGTGTGTGAGGTAAAAATTATAATAATAATAATCTATCTATATTGTATAATGTATATGATAGTATAATTTTTTAAGAGCTATGTAATATATAAACATTCACGTATATATGTATGTAAGTATGTATTTAATATAAACAGAATATCAGCGCTGCAGACTTATCTGTAGCTTATGCTGAGTTGGTTGCCTCTTCATCATTGACACATAAAGCCACCTCCATATATATTTTGTAATATTATATTTCTGTATTATTTAATCTGTAAACTTTATTTCTATTTATAAAATGTATCTCATGTATGCTATGTGTTTGTAATGGTTGAATAAAGAACTTATCTATCTATCTATATATGTATACAATAATTATAACTGCTTTTATGTCACTTTTGACTTCTTCTTTGCGAGCCGTTTTGGAAAATATACACATATAATAATAATAATAATAAATAACCCTGGACAATTCACACAGCGCCATCTTGACTCAATTTAAGCTAGTGTTATGGGCACTAGATAACTGATCGTATCCGTCAGGTAGGGGTTGACTTTTAGCCGCTCCATAAGTCTTTCAAGTTTGGAGTGCCATCTGCACTGACCCCCTATCGTTCGGTGAAGCTGTATAGGCCAGTAACTGCATTATAATAGTTATTTAATTAGTTCCCACTGAGAGGAAAGGGAATTGCAAGTAATGTGGATTAATTGCTAGCAATGTATTATGTCAGGTTTACCTTCACACGGGTTCAGGTTTCAGGTTTACCTTCATAAGCAAATTGCGGTGATAAATTACTGGTGAATTTTTCACGAAGGTATCTACTGGTATCTCGCCAGCGGAAACTGTTAGCGTAGACGGTTGCACCATTCCATTATCAACCATTAAAAATCTTGTACCCATTGCTAAGATCCTCTCTCTGTTTATGTTATATATATTATTATATTTACAAAATATCTTAAGAATTTTGTTCGTAACATATTTAGTATCTACACAAGTGACTCGAACAACTAAATGCTGAACAAGTGAATTGTATCGTTGACCTATCAACGCGGAGTGTTTTAAAAACTGTGAATGGAAATTAAAATGACGACGTGGACACACGCTTTGAAAGTTTATAAAACAAATTTAACTGTGTCTAAACTATCCCACATATGGACGTATAGGCGTAGCTGTTTTTTCTGACAGTTACCAAAACATATTTCCGCTCGACAAACAGTGTTGTGTTGTGTTAAAATTCGGAACAACGCCATCTATCGGCTGCCAACCACCAACTGCAAGCAAATACAACTAGCGCCATCTAGTATCAACAGCCGGCAAACTGTCAGACATAAATATGGTTGAGGATACCAGCCACAGCTGCCAGCAGCAGACAGACCGGGTATCCGCGGCAAACGTTCTGCGTGTTGCCGCGAGAGAAGCGCGCGAGGGACGACGGCTGGCGGAGTTTGGTGCTCATGCGTTTGCAAGCATCACATATAATGCATACGGTATAATAGTCTTATTTAGTTTCTATAATAATGTTCTTTTATGAAAGTTGAATACAGTTACTGGTTACCGAGGAATAAGTATTAATAATAAAAGTGGTATAAGCTACAAAGCGTAACAAACCAGTCTGGAGCAACATCTCAGACGGTTGGGATTCCGGGGCGGCTCACTCCCGGGAAAGATGCAGAAAGCGCAGTGCTCTTAGATTCTGCCCGCATTGTACGCCGGTTTCTCTCCCTGGGGCCCTGAACCCCGGCCGACTGTGCTTCTGCCGGGGGTAAGTTGCCATCTCCTCTCCTTAAGAAGAGAGATGAGATTTTTTTTGGAAGTTAGGAATAATAATAATAAACTCTTTTTTAGGCACATAGAAGAAATACAAAAAGAAATCAGTAAGTATATTAATAACCAAAGGCAGTCTCTTATCGCTTTAAGCAACTTACAGACAACCTTGAAAAGAGGACTAGTGGTCTCAGAAAAGGTAGACTAGACACATAATATAGGTATACATATATAATCTTACACATATATATATAGATATATTCTACATGTTAGGTAGTAAAAAAAAAATATGAACTGTAATGCGAGAGAAATGAAACCTTAGTTGATTTTTTAATATTAAATCAGATTGAGCAGATCGAATGGAGAGTGGTAGGGAGTTTCAGAGGCGAATGGCTTGGACAGTGAAAGAATTGGAATAATATGTGGAGGAATAAGCAGAGATCCTCAGACAAAGACCTCTGGTACTACGCAAAGTTGTTAATATATAGATTGTAGTATATATAGTCTGTGGCATAATTAATATTGTTCATAACGTACTCTGTGCAGTTGACAGAGCCTGTTTTTGTAAAAATGGCGGGAACGGCCTAATTAAATGTGAAGCGCAATTTAGCATTTTATTTATTTAAATATTTAAATACAGTACAATATAGTTTTAAACTTTTTTTTTCTATCAAAAGTATATATGCTAAACTGCATCACACACACGCTGGCCATTAATTTAGTCCATCAATAAGAGCGGGGACAAAGTAATTTTTCAATTAAAGTCGGTCGTAACTGGTGTGTATTAGTGGATGGACTCCTTACAAATGTAGCTTGAGCGCGAAACTACGGTCGAAATCGCGTACTGTTTCATAAACTAGGCTACTTAGAGCGTCCTTGCTTTGAGGTTATTTTTTTATATCATATTTTCATCATGACAACGGCTGACCCGCTCAACTTCGTCTGCATTACACTTACATGACATTTATATTTCGCCCAATGTACATGATATCTTTTTAAATTATAGCCTATATGTTATTCTGATGTATAAGCTATATTACTGTAAAATTTCATCCCAATTTGTTCAGTAGTTTCTGCGTGAAAGAGTAACAAACATCCGTACTCACAAACTTTCGCGTTTATAATATTAGTAAGATAAGGTTATTTTATATATTTTTTATTTTTAATATATATATGGAGCAAAGATTTGGATTTTTGGGGGAGCAGTGGACGTCTTCCGGGCTGAAAAGATGATGATTTTTTTGAGCTCTCATTAAACGGTTACTTAAACGACAAATGTGTATGGCAATAATTGTTCATGCCCGATATTTTCATTTAATGTTAGACATAGAGATCTACATAAGTTAAAAATGTACAGTTACAACGATTATTTAAAAGAACAACACATAAGTGTCATGCTCATTCTTCTTGTGATGAGACAGCTTTCCGAATGAGCGGTAGATTAAAAGAAACATAACTGTGACAATTCAAAAGTGCTTAAATTAAGTTAATTTGAATAAAGAATTTCTATTCTTCTCTTCTACACAAACTGTCTTTTAAAAAAAAGAAATACAGTGGAGTTTCTAGCCAGTTCTTCTCAATTGAATCTGTACACAGAAGTGAACGGTAGGAAAAAAGTGTTAATATAAAAAACTTGACGTTCATAAGCGGCTAAAATGACCTACATGAATTTTGATTTAATATGCAAAGCAAAAGCAAACCGTCAACGTGGTAACCGTCGGCTATATACATGAACAGTACTAAATTACATAAAGTTATCATGTGTCACGCACGATGAGACTTTTACGTAGACGTTTGTGATAACTATAATGTCGGGGCTATAATTTTACTGACTCTGCCTTCAGCCAAATCAATTCTTAAGAAACAATCTACATTCAATTACTCGTACTTACATATTATACATAGACAAATGTTTGTGTTGTACGAGGAATCGAACCCGCGACCAGCAGAAGTGAAACTGTATCCGCTAGAATTAGCGTGTGTTTTGCTCATTGTATATACATTATATGACATACTGTTGTCTCATCCATTATAATGCGCCGATTACAATTTTTCTGCGCAACATTCTGTTTATGTAAATAAAGATATATTAAAAAAATTACAACAACATTGATTCTCTGACGGCGACCCATCTTAGACGCAGAAAAGTATTCTCTAATATAAGGTTTAATGTTTGCATTATCCATTTGAGTGCCTTGAGTTTTACTTATGTATGCCTAAAAAGTTGCGCGCGCAACATAAATGTGTCATTTAGTTGTCTCCTATAAAATTAAATTTACTCATGTATGCCTAAAAATACCAAGAAAATCGTTGATTTTGATGTCATATACACTTTGCTGCAAAAAAAATTGTATATCTTCAAAAAAATTGTCCAATTCTAGTAATGCTTTCCCAGCGCTAGACGGAAACTTATTTTGGGAACGTTATCGCGCTCCTGTAAATTTTGGAACACACGCGCAGGAGACTAAAGTCCTATCCATCAGGCGGGAGTTGGCCTGTGCCATCTGCACTCGCCCCCTATCGTTCGGTGAAGCTGTAAAGGACAGCTACTGCCAACAACATTAGAATAGTCTAAAAAAACGCGTAGTAGCGCGATCAGCCTGTTCGGCACTTTAACGGTTAATATTAATATTCCAGTTGACCGCCCCCGACCAACAGATGGCGTTATTTACAAATAAAGTTCTTTAGAAAGTAGTAAACATGATCATATCATATATTTATACAACATGTGTGACAGTGCAGACAATGATTTAGTTTTAACTAGTAACATTTATACTTATGAGCAGATAAGGCCAAAGTTCCACAGATAACCTACTAGACGACTTCGAGATGACTACCCTTAGTTACACAAGTTACATACGTATATATAGGTATAGATTTGAACGGATTGTAGACTTTAGGCAAAGTACTTTGTTTAACTTTAATGCACAAATACAATATAAAAATGTAAATATGGCGAACTTGATACCAAAGGGCGTTCAGTCAACAATACTGCAAACAGAGAAATTAGTAAAACCAAACATACATAGTACTTTGAAACAGTTTATAACTAGATAATTCTATATGAGTTGTGCACGTGTACGATCTTGCTCGTTCTTCTTGTGATGAGTCTGCGTTCCGAATGAGTAGTAGAATAAAAAGATATCATATGACTATTATTATTAAAAGTAGTTATATTAAGTTTATTTGAATAAAGATTATTTCTATTCTATTCTACCTAATGTATTTAGTTATTTATGTTACCCGTACGTACTAGTTACTAAAACAAGTAATACTCGTTACTGGAATAACGTTATGTTACTAGTTACTTTTGATACAATAACGATTTTAAGCCATATTTGCTCTTAGTTTAAAACTATAATTATTTCGTCCTTTTTTTATGTAAATGTTAACTATATAGTAAAACAGTGAATTCCCGATTCCATACTAACTCTATAATTTAACTATCATATCTCACCCTTCAACCGAAACACAGCTTACAAAGCAAACTGCAGTGCGACTGAAATAGCTGAGACTGTGACTTTATACAAAAAATTTGTAAAGAGTCGTCTTTGTATGTACACGAAGAAGATTTTTACCAATTTTTTTGTAATTGAAATAGCAAATGAATTGGTAGCCAACTGATGGTAACTGTGGCTGTATATGAACAGCTCTACGGACATAACCGTTATCGTATAACACCTATCCTACCATTCACACGTTACCAGTGAACTCATATCTCGTAATTTCACAACCCCGATAAATAAAAAAAGAATAATATCTAAAATAATGCCAGGTCTTTATCAACACGGGGTGACGACGGGTTGTCGACGACCTCGGTGGTCTAGCGGTCAAGCACACCGCTTTACGACCGATGGTCGCGGGTTCGATTCCTCGCACGCCACAAACATTTGTATTCATGAGTATGATTGTGTGTATCGGTCTGGGTGTTTTCTATGTATAATATGTATGTATTTACAAAAAAAATCTATGTATCAGTTATCTAGTACCCATAACACAAGCTCTAGCTGGCTTAACTTGGGTCTAGATGGCTCTGTGTGAATTGTCCTGAGATTATTATTATTCATTTTTTTTTCCCAAAAATTCTCATCTCCCCTCTTAAGGAGAGGAGATGGCAATATACCCCCGGCAGAAGCACAGTCGGCCGGGGTTCAGGGCCCCAGGGACAGAAACCGGCGTACAATGCGGGCAGAATCTAACAGCACCGCTTTCTGCATCTTTCCCGGGAGTGAACCGCCCCGGAATCCCAACCGTCTGAGATGTTGTTCCAGACTGGTTGGGATAAGACCGTTCACCGACATAACGATTGGAATGATTTCGGTGGACATCACCCCCCATATTTCGGTCACCTCGTGAGCCAGGTCGAGATACTTTATTATTATTATTATTATAATAATATTATTATTATTATAAGTTTAACCAGTTGGTTATATATTCAATATTATTTCTATTTGAGTATTTAATAGAATTAGTGCTAATTGGTGGTTTGTATTCACACACTTAAACTTAAAAATGTAAAGTAATAATAAATTATTTAAAAGAGCAACACGCAAGTTTCTTGCTCGTTCACGTCATCAGGTTTTCTTGTGATGAGACAGCTTTCCGAACGAGCGGTAGATTAAAAAATGTAATGACTATTCAAAAGTGCTTCAATGTAAGTTTATTTGAATAAATGATTTTCTATTCTATTCTTTCTATTCTAATAAAGCCAGTTTTTAATAATACTTAAAGACCTAAAACCGACTTCGCCGAGATAACTCAAACACAGGCACAGTTCCAGTAGATACGGGAATTATCTGAAACAAACAAGTTAGGGCCATCGAAGTTCACGCGACTTCATTATTATTGTTACACTAATGCCGCCGTTGTTATCAGCACGAGTTTTTACTACGGATTTAGTTTTACTATCAGTCTTAAGCGTATTATATTTAAATGTCACTTTTGTGTGTCACTATTAATAGGATAAACTAGAAATAATAACTCAACCATTGATGTCGAAAGACCAATTCTTATTAATTTTGGACCTAAATGAAATACACTTGATATTTTACAGTTACGAAAATTAAACTGTAACGCAGTAAATTAGGATAATGTAGTTTATAATTGTTCTAATAACGGGAATTATCTGAAACCTGAAATTTGTAATTAATTGAAGTTAGGGCCATCGAAGTTCACGTGACTTCATTATTATTGTTACTATAATTCCGATGTTATCGATATCAGCACGAGTTATTACTACGAATTTAGATTTACTATCAGTCTTAAGTATACTATATATAGATGTCACTTTTGTGTGTTGAATTGCCAACCCAATTTTTATTTATTTTAGACCTTAATGAAAGACATTTGATCAAGACATCAGAGGAAGTATGAAAGTGGCACCGATGTTAGAGAGGTTAAAAAGTAATCGTCTATCGTGGTATGGGCATGTAATGCGTAGGAATGAAGATCATATCCTAAGGATGGTGTTACATATGAATGTGGATGGTTATAAGGGTAGAGGAACACCGAAAAAGAGATGGATGGACTGTGTGAAAAATGATATGGTGAGAAAGGGAGTAAATAACGGAATGACTGCGAACAGAGATGAATGGAAGAGAAAAACATATTACGCCAACCACAAATAAATGGGATAAGGAAGAAGCAGATGATGATGAATGAAAGACATTTGTGTCTTTCATTCATCATCATCTGCTTCAGTGAATTAGAATATTATAGTTTCAAATTTTTCTAATAACGGGAATTATCTGAAACCTGAAGTCTGTAATTAACTGAATTTAGGGCCATCCATGTTCACGCGACTTCATTATTATTGTTACACTAACACCACCGTTGTTATCAGCAAGAGTTTTTACTACGGATTTAGTTTTACTATCAGTATTAAGCATATTATATATGTCAGTTTTGTTTATCCCTATGAAATGAAGAATTCTAACTCACCCATTGTACCCATTTTGATTAATTTTGAAATTTAATGAAGGATGTATGATATTTTACAGAATATTATAGTCTCTAATTGTTCTAATAAAGGGAATTATCTGAAATTAACTGAAAATGGGGCGGGGCCAACGGGAAATTTCGATGATCCTACTATCGAAATTCACGCTACTTCATTATTATTCCGTCGTTGTTGTTATCAGCGAGTTTTTACTATGGATTTAATCTTAAGCATATTATATTTAAATGTCACTTTTCGTGAATCAGTTCAACGACAACCGACTTAACTATACCATAATCTAGTGTAAAATGATAATGAGATATAAAATCAGGTCCATTAGTCCATCGTGACATATTCACCACAAATTATACGGGACGGTTTCTAGTGGGAACCACGTGAAGATCGATCTGACAGGGCATAGTTGTACCAGTGAGTTTGCTAATCACCTTTGCTAACTACCTTTCTTCCCAACATCGATATTAAGAAATAGTGTGAATTAAAAGAATTTATGTCCATTTCTGACAGTTACCATCTCTTTCCAACAGCGGCGCTTGGCGACATGGGCGGCAGCGGTACCAGCTCGTCGTCCTCCCACATGTCCCCTGGGTGGCAGGTCAACGACCTCGACCTGGACCTTACCGGGGAACTGAACATGAAGTTAGTATCATTCTTCACAATATATTTTATGGCCTCGGTAGTCTAGCAGTTTACCTCACCGCCTTACTTCCGATTGTCGCGGGTTCGATTCCTCGTACGAAGATTTATATTCATGAGTATGATTGTTTGTATCGATTTGGGTGTTTTCTATGTATATTAAAAAAATCTATGTATTTATATCAGTTGTCTAGTACCCATAACACAGCCTATGCTTAGCGTGGGACTAGATGGCGCTGTGTGAATTGTCCTGAGATATTATTATTATTGTATAACAACTGACAAGTAAACAAGCTTACGGCCCAACTTATGAAGTTACTTTTTTTTAATTGGGAGAAATCTTCATAGAATCGACCACCCGCCCGGGGTAGAGACTGTGTGAGGTTCTTATTGAACATAGATTTTGTCATAAAGCATGATTATCGCAATGTTGTCTTCTCAATAATGAATGAATGAATGAATGAAACTCTTTACTGTTCCTATCACAGAAAATACAATTATGTATAAAATGATAAACATGAATACATTAGAGGAAGTATGAAAGTGGCATCGGTGTTAGAGAGGTTGAAGAGTAATCGTCTATCATGGTATGGACATGTAATGCGTAGGAACGAGGATAATATTTTAAGAAAGGTGTTACATATGAATGTCGATGGTTATAAGGGCAGAGGAAGGCCGAAAAAGAGATGGATGGACTGTGTGAAAGATGATATGGTAAGAAAGGAAGTAAATAACGCGATGACTGCGAACAGGGATGAATGGAAGCGAAAAACATATTACGCCGACCAACAAATAAATGGGATAAAGAAGAAGCAGATGATGATGATAAACATGACAAAGAGGTAACAATGGGCGGTCTTATCGCTATAATGTGTTAGGGGGAGAAAAAGAGGATGAAATTTTGTACATACGAAGTCCCAAGTATATAGCATCTTCATCTCAATAATGTATCAAAGGGGTTGAAATAACTGAAACTGAACCCAACTGAAAATCAGAGCTGCAAACTATTTTTCCAGCATAATGCTGAGTCGTTGCCCACGTTAACTTTGTTTTTTAATGTGTAAATTGTTCCTTGTATTTCTTATGTTATTTCTGTGTAAAACGAGTTAAAAATTATATTCTATTCTATTCTTAATAGGATTCAGTTCCGGGTAACAGCTAATCTTTATATAAATGGTTCACAGCGACGCACTCCTGTCCTCCTTACCGTCTCTCGCGGTGTTCAAGCAGGAGGCCCCGTCGCCCACTGGTGCTGTACTGTCTCCGCCGAGACGCGTGTGGCCACCGCGAAGACCTGATGATAGACAGGTCTGTTTCCTATCCATTTATAACTAAGCGGCCATCCGCAAATTATGCCAAACGGTAAGGCCTGTCGTCGGGGACAGTGCAATTTTTTTTTTAATAATCATTACATAGTATAAGTCGCTGTCGGTGTCTGTCCGTCCCTATGTATGGTTAAATCTTTAAAACTACGCAACGGATTTTGATGTAGTTTTTTTAATAGATAGAGTGATTCAAGAGGAAGGTTTATATGTATAATACATGTCCACCCGGGCGAAGCCGGGGCGAGTAGCTAGTATTTAATAAAGATAAGTACATTTATTTTTACACATTGTTTCGCCAAACTACAGAACAGTTTATTGGCAAGATATCGCTCAGTTTTCTTAATACTCACATACATACATACACATAAATACATGTTTTTACAGAAATTTACCAATAATCTATGTACAGTTTATTTTTTAAACTTTATCTAAAAGTGCTGTTTTTAATTTCGACTTCAATACGGTCTATTGTTCGTTGTTCTTTCCCCGTAATAATTGATAGCACTCGGTTTAACAAATTTATTCTGCGAGTTATTTCTCGTATTATAGATATTTTTTTAATACAATTGAATAAACACAAGACAAACTTGGGCCTGTGGTCAATAAAAATTTGCAGATTTTGCCAACCTGAAAAGTTACTTAGTATACTCTTTTCGACTAACTCTTTATATATGGAAACAGTAGAAGGCAGTAATCGATTCAAGACTGATATACTATAGGATTTATTGAAATTTCTCAATTTGTTCTCAATTTGATGTGACAAGATTAATGAATGGCCCCTAATGTAATATTTCGTAATAAATTTAGCTTTGCGGTTTAGCTCTCTGCCCAGACAGATCTGGTAGGAGGCTGCTGTTGCAGCTTTTAGATACACGTTCTAGAATGGAACTTACTAGATTATTCTAGACAGAAAAGAAGTTTTAGAAAATTGTAGAGATTCATTCATTTCTAATTAATAATCGTATGTGAGTATACGAGTATCTTACAGGCGCAACGAAAATGAACTGCATTAGACCAAAAAAATAATAGAAATAATATAAATAGAAATAGAAATAAATATATCCAAATAAACTTAATAAAGGCACTTTTGAATAGTCATTTTTTTTTAACTACCACTCATTCGGATTGCAGACTCATCACAAGAAGAATTCGAAAGAAACTTGTATTGCTCTTTTAAATGAATGTTGTTTTAAGTAGATTTTCATTAACAAGGAATTGGAATTACAAATTGGGAAGACAACTTAAGACCTTAACTTTAAAGTTGATTTTTAAAAGTATTTTTACAGTTAATACAGTTTATTATTAAATTAACATATACATCAAATGTTTCTTTTTTAATAATATAGTATGATAAAACGTCATGTTATTTTTAGGTATTCGGGGAAAAGATAGACCGTTTCAACCTATAGATAATGTCTACTTAGAAAATGATTATTATTATTATAGAATAATAAAATAATCATTAATTTATGAAAATATCAGTTGGCTGTTATAACTACTGTCTGACCCCAGACTTGATAACTGGATTCAACTGCATTCAAAATTGAACTATAATCTGTTTAGTTTAAGAAGTATGTTTAAATGGTGGCATAATTAAAACGCAATATGATTTTTATAATTAGGTATTTTGTATGATTTTGAATATCTGATATGTCTAAATAAATAAATATTGACTCCGTGACAACATACCAACGTCCCACTGTTGGGATTGGGAGGTACAGAGATTTAACCTACTATCCATTTGATAGCATCGAGGTACGGCTACCTTTTACCATCGCACTTTTGTTGCTCTTTCACGTAAAAAATACTGAACGGATTTTGATTGAACTGTACAGTAATATAGCTTATAGATCAGGATAACACATAGGATATAATTAAAAAAGACATTATGTAAATTGATCGAAATATAATGATGAATGCAATACTCTATGTGAGTATTTAGAACTCTTGCACTACCATTATCCCATCCGATCGACCCCCCATCCAATTCAAACGGGTATCCCCATCCAATTCAAATAACGACGGCCTGAGCCGAGGTTCGAACTCCTAGTGGTGCCCTCAGACTAAAGTCATATCCGTCAGGCGGGAGCTGGCCTTCAGCCGCTCCATAAGTCCTTCCGCGGGTTTGGAGTGCCATCTGCACTCGCCCCCTAACGTCCGGTGAAGCTGTAAAGGTGCTGCGGCCAACAGCATTAGAATAGTCCGAAAAAAGAAAAAAAAAACTACCATTATCCGATAAATACGTCCACTACCACATCGTAAGGTTGTCTGGAAGAGATCTCTTTCAGAGATATGCTCCTTTGCTCACATTTTTATTTATAATATATTCTTTCTTACTATATATGTATATAAGTTGACGACCTCGGTTGTCTAGCGGTCTAGACACTGCCTTATGTCCGATGGTCGCGGGTTCGATTCCTCGCACGGCACAAACATTTGTATTCATGAGTATGATTGTTTGTATCGGTCTGGGTGTTTTCTATGTATAATATGTATGGATTTACGAAAAAAAATATCTATGTATTTGTATCAGTTGTAACACAAGCTTTAGCTAGCTTAACTTGGGCCTAGATGGCGCTGTGTGAATTGTCCTGAGATTATTATTATTATAAGTGCAATAAAGAATATTAAAATGTCGTATAAGAGTAATGCAGACGAAATAACGCGGGTCATCTAGTCCTTAATAATTTCTTGCTTCATATTTCTTGTTACTTGTTATTATCGTCTGACTGAAGAATAGAATAGAATAGAAATCCTTTATTCAAATAAACTTAATTTAAGCACTTTTCAAATAGTCATAATTTTTTTATCTACCGCTCATCCGGAAAGCTGTCTCATCACAAGAAGAATGAGCAAGAAACTTGTGTGTTGCTCTTTTAAATACTTACATTATATCAAAAGTGCGTAGCGGTTTCTATGTTGATTGTCGCATGCCAAATCCAATGCCAATTGTTGTTAATTAAATATAAGTAAATCAATATTTATTTAAAAGAACAACACACAACTTTCTTGCTAGTTCTTCTTGTGATGAGACAGCTTTTCGAACGAGTGGTAGATAAAAACAAATTGTTATGACTGTTCAAAAGTGCTTAAATTAAGTTTATTTGAATAAATTATTTTCTATTCTATTCTATTCTTGTGATGAATCTGCATTCCAAAAAACTTGACTATTCAAAAGTGCTTATATTAAGTTTATTTGAATAAAGATTATTTCTATATCAAAATAGAAGTATTCCTATATAATGTAATTGAGGTCGGCTCTACACTGCCTAATCATGAAATTGTATTTGAAATGTTAATCCTCAACAGATCACCAGCATGGTGGTGGACGGCGGCCGTGAAGGAATGGACGAAGGGTGCCATCAGTCACCGACTCACAACCCCAGCATGATGAGTCAGCACGGTCAGTTCTCGAGTAGAGTTTTTTTATACTACGATAGTGGCAAACAAACTATGTTTTTAATACATTATTATATTTATATATATAACTAACTGTCCCGGCAAACGTTGTTTTGCCTTAAAATAAAAAAAAAATTAGGGGTGGCCTACCCCTAACATTTAGGGGGATGAAAAATAGATGTTGGCCGATTCTCAGCCCAACTCAATACGCTCACAAAATTTCATGAGAATCGGTCAAGCCGTTTCGGAGGAGTATGGGAACGCAAACTGTGACACGAGAATTTATATATATATATAATATATGTCACGGCCTCGGTAATCTGGCGGTTTAACACGGCGGTTTTTCGCTTTACTTCCGAAGGTCGCTGGTTCGACTTCTGGTACGGTACAATCATACGTATGATTGTTTATATCCGTCTGGGTGTCTTTTTGTGTATGTACTATGTATATATGTATATACAAAAAAGTATATGTCTAAGTGTTTATTACACATTGAAGACTGAATTGAAAAATCTTATTTCTCACATAGGGACCGGCATGTTTTTTATTGTTTATTACGTATATTATTTTTTAAATATGTTTTTAGTGTACAATAATTTGAGGTAGACATTATTTAACCCCTAGATTTATTTCAATTAAAATACCCACGTGTGATCACCCGGTCCCAACGTGTAAAACTTTCGTTGTGGAGTGATCCACCGGTGGGCATGCGGTTTTTAACGTGTTAATATATCATTTATCAAATACAAGCTCTGCTTATTACTAGATGTCGCTGTGTCAATTGTCCAGGGTTTTTATTATTGTTTATTTATCGTAACAGGCAGTCCAGAGAGTATGCAGTGTCAGCCCACGATGCAATCGGGCGCGTTGATGCCCATGAACGGGTATCATTCCCCCACGCAAGAGAATAAAAGTAAGTTTTTTGACTGACTACTAACAAAAAAGTTCTATATTATATATTTTGTATATTTTTAAAGACTAAAGCTTAATGACGACCTCGATGGTCTAACGGATTAGCACGCCGCTTTACTTCTGGTCGTGGGATCGATTCATTGCACGGTGCAAAGATTTGTACTCGTATTTATGAGTGTGATTGTTTGTGGGTTGGCTGTTTTCTATGTATAATATGTATGTTTTTACGAAAAAAATATCTATGTATTTGTATCAGTTTTCTAGTACCCATAACACAAGCTTTAGAGTCTAGATAGCGCGTTGTGAATTGCCTTGAAATAATAATAAATATGTATGTATTTACGAAAACAAATATATATGTATTTGTATCAGTTATAGCTAGTGTTATGGGTACTAGACCCAAAACATAAGCCTGTGATTTGTCCTCAGATTCTTATTATTATTACAGACGCTGGTCTGCTGATGTGCTCGCCAGCGAACTCTTTAGATGGGTTCCTACACTCGCCGATACAACAACGTTCCGAGCCAAGCTTCAAGGATGATACCAGGTGATTGATCCAGGATGAACACCTGATAATAATCCCATTCATCACGAGCTAAACCAGTGTTTCCCAACCTTTTTAGTACCATACCTTAACCTTTCTAAAATTCTTATGTCCCCTATGTAACATACTAATTTATAACATTAAAAAATTCAATTGTTTACTTAAGCAAATTAAGTAATAGGTGTTAGGAAGAAATCACTAGGAAATTGATAATGAAACGAGTAAGTAAATTTTCAAAACATATAATGAAATATTGAAATTCACATTCCATGTAATTATAATAGAGTCCATTTTCGATTTGCATCCCTTAACGATCAAATGGGGGGCACAGGGGAGCACCCCTGTGAGGAGTGGGCCCGCGTTAGGAAATACTGACTAGACTGTACATCACTTATTCTGTTAAGGTCAGATTTCTTTATGTTCATATTTGATTGTTTGCATGTAAAACTTTATTGTCAATAAAACTTAGTATAAAAGTTAATACAATAATAATTATAATAATTCAGGACAATTCACACATATTTATATATGTTAGTTATGCACACACACTTTGTAACCCCTCCGATCGATCCCTGTCTAATTCAATTGGGGATCGAAGTTATGAAGGCCTGAGCTGAGGTTCGAACCTCTACCTTTGTTTAAAACACTTTATATTGTATATTATGTATATACTACATAATATACTAGCTGTGCCCGCGGTTGCTCCCGTGTGACATTTATAGCCTAAGTGTTATTCTGATGCATAGGCTATATTACTGTAAAGTTTAATCAACATCCGTTCAGTAGTTTTTTCGTGACAGACTTTCGCGTTTATAATATTATTAAGAAGACTATGAAGACACCAGGAGTCTTCTACGCTTTTGGGAGGAGCTTGGCTGGCTAGTTTAGTAGTCTGGCTCTGCACGCACAACGGCCCGAATGAGAGGCTCATTGCGGAGACTGGAGTCCAACATACAATACAATACAATATTATTAAGATAAGATATATATATTTATGTTGATGACAGTTTTTTTTTTATGGATGATAATGAAGTGCACCCGCCTGCGCTAACGGTTTACGCTGGCGGGGCACCAGTGGAAGATGATAAGATGAACATGATGTCAGGCCAGTTAGCCCATCGTAACAAATTCGCCAAGAATTTATTACGATGGCTTCCAGGGCAACCACGTGGAGGTCAACCTGAAATGGTACATTGCTAGCAATAAGATCATCAGTCCACATTACTAACAATCCCCTATCCCCCTGTTGATGACAGTTGTTTAGTCCCCATAATTTGGTCTCACTTCGGCCAATATCTACTGAATTTGGCACAAGATGTCGCTGTGTCGATTGTCCGGCCTAAATAAATTAATTTAATAAACATGCCCCTGTAACATAGACAAAGCCACACGTATAAACTAGTTGTTTATTCCTGCAGGTTCCAGTACGTGCTGGCAGCTGCTACATCCATCGCCACCAAACAGAACGAGGAAACACTGACGTATCTCAACCAGGGGCAACCCTACGAGATCAAACTGAAGAAGTTAGGAGATCTATCCCACTACAAGGGGAAGATTCTGAAGGTAAATCAACAGACTTGACGGCCTCAGTGTTCTAGCGGTTTAGCATACCGCCTTAATGGTCGTCGTGGGTTCGATTCCTCGCACGGTACTTTGAATGTGATTATTTGTATCGGTCTGGGTGTTTTCTATTTATATTTATTTATTAACATATGAATTTATGAAAAATAAATCACTGTATAAAATAATAATGCAATTAGAAATAATCAGAGAAAAAAGCAGACCTGTAAATGTTTAATCACAATGCAAATAAATTAAAAAAGCAATAGACTGGTTAGGAGTGGAAATTCCAAGTTTTTATATTATGCGTCCCTGGCTACATATAAATTTATAATTTAATCATTTTAATCACATGATTGTTATTATATTGCTCCATCAACAAGTCCAGTTAATAAATTGTTACCGAGGAATTAATTATGAAACTGTTGATGAAATAAATATATATCTATTTATTTGTAATATAATATAAAAATAACAGAAGTGTTTGAAGATTATAGTGGTATAATAGATAAGCAGTGAACAAAATATATATTTTAAATTATGACAGAATGATCATGATTAATAATTGTGATTATTATCAAATGTTTGTACCATACGAGGAATCGTACCTACGACCATCGGAAGTAAGGTCCTTTCATAATAAATGGAAATTACTAAAAATATACCCTACAAAACTATAAGCAAATCCGTCGACTTATTACCTGTATAAATATAGTAAACCGACTGGAATGAATCGAACACAAAATTTTAAGTAAAGCTTATTATAATATATTTGTGAAAATTGCGCTTAAAGTGATGAAGATTTCTGTGATTGGATACAAACGCCCAGACAAACAGATAGAAATCTATCATTCTTTTAGATTGTATTACGTTGATAAAGTCCCACAATACTCTTTTCTTCCGCTAGCTGTGCCCCACAAGGTCCATTATTGATCTACTTTGAATTTAACTGGGTACCAACTCTTTATTATAAATTATAAAAACACAAAACTTAAATAAATAAACAATAATAATTTTTCTCGTATATCTTTTATACAGACAGAGATCTGTTACATTTATTGTATACTGCGGCACACGCGGTACACGCGACTGCGTCCGCTTGGAATTTAACTTTATTTTTCTAAAATAAAGGTAGCCTAAGTTACTCCTTATTACATCAGCTACCTGCCAATAAATGTCCCGTCAAAATTGGTCCAGCCATTTCACAGATTAGCCGGAACAAACAGACAGAAATAGACAGACAGACAAACACAAAAATTGTAAAAAATGTTATTTTGGTGTATATACCGTATTTATATTCATATGAATGTAGTAAAAAACGGTTATTTCAATATTACAAACAGACACTCCAATTTTATTAATATGTATAGATGTATAGACATTATTATGGCCAACGGTACCTAAGTATTTTAATCTTGTTGCCCCTATGATCTCAACCTGAACCAGTGCTACGAGATAATACCCGAGGACTTAAGAGATCTCTCCCATTACAAGGGGAAAGTGTTGAAGGTACATCCACATTTATATATCTTTTACATTTATTATGAGTTATAGCAGCGAAGCGATAGCCTGAGTCGAGGTACGAATCCTTAGCGGTGCCCTCAGACTAAAGTCGTATCCGTCAGGCGGGAGTTAGCCTTCAGCCGCTCCGTAAGTCCTTCCATGTTTGGAGTGCCATCTGCACTCGCCCCCTGTCGTCCGGTGAAGCTGTAAAAGCCAGCTGCGGCCAACAGCATTAGAGTAGTCCGAAAAGAAATTACATATGCTATTCTAGAATAAACAACTGAGATGTTTGTTTGTTTATGGCAGAGCGTGATCAAGATATGTTTCCACGAGCGACGGCTGCAGTATATGGAGAGAGAGCAGATAGCGCAGTGGCACACCGAGCGGCCCGGGGAGAGGATCGTTGAGGTCAATCCAAATACATATGTGGGAGTGAGATAACAGACGGGTGAATGGGACGGTGAGATGGTGTGACAGACGCGAGTATGAACGGGATTCACGAAAGAGAGAGATAGAAAATGTGTGTGTGTGAAAGAGCGAGGGATAGTGTAATGGAGGAAAAAGGTCGACGACGTGTAGTTAATGCCAAGAGTTTTAATTTCAAATAAATTATAAAAGTGCTGTAAAAGGTTTTAATTACAAGATAAAACACACAATACTATCTTCTGTATATTTAGTATATATCTGTTTTTATAATTAATATTAATTAATTGCTAAATTCCATCGCCGTCCCTGATCAACTCAACTGTTGACTGGCAGAGAATGCCATCAGGCATTAAGGCCGTTATGTATATAATTTTAAGTGCAAAAGAATGAATAAAATCGTAGAATCGATATATATATATATATATATATAAGCTCAGTATATGATAATAATATCCTATTCACATAATTAAATGTTAGACATAAACACCTACATAAGTAGAAATTAATTGGCTTTAAAAAAAAAGTAATACTGTCGAGTTTCTTGCTAGTTCGTCTCTATTGAATCTGTATACTGAACTTAACTTAAACAGTAGGGAAAAAATATTAATACAAAAAATATGACGTAAGCGGTTAAAATGTCCCACATGAATAAATGTTTTTTGACATGATCGATTTGAAAAAAAAATACTACCCCTGGACAATTCACACAGCGCCATCTAGTCCTAATCTAAGTAGAACTTGTGTTATGGGTACTAGACAATTGATATAAATATATAGACACATTTTATGGAAATGCATACATAATATACATAGATATAGAAATAATCCTCATTAGAATAAACTTAATTAAGATTCTACCACTCATTCGGAACGCAGACTCATCACAAGAAGAATGAGCAAGAAACTTGTGTGTTGCTCTTTTAAATAAATATTACACAGAAATCACGCAGACCGATACAAATGATCATAATGTATGCAGGTGGATGTGCCGTTGTCATACGGTGTGATTCGCGTGGAGCAGCCTTCTTGTCTCAACGCACTCCACGTCTACTGGGACCCCACCAAGGACGTCGGCGTTTACATAAAGGTATTATTGTAATAAGTACACCCATAAACCCCCCTCAGATCGAACCCCCGTCAAATTCAAATGGGGATCGAAATTACAACAGCCTTAGCCGAGGTTGGAACCCCTATCGGTGCTCTCAGACTAAAGTCGTATCCGTCAGGCGGGAGTTGCACCCATAAATCCCCCTCAGATCGATCCCCCATCAAATTCAAATGGGGATCGAAATTACAAAAGCCTTAGCCGAGGTTGGAATACCTTACGGTGCTCTCAGACTAAAGTCGTATCCGACAGGCGGGAGTTGGCCTTCAGCCGCTCCATAAGTGCTTCCTTTGGCTTGGAGGTCCATCTGCACTCGCCCCCCACCATCCGGTGACAGCTGTAATGACCTACGGCTGCGGCTAACAGCATTAGTTTTAGTGCTACGCAATTTTTTCAAAAGTGTATGTGTAAAAATTTTGTGCAACGCCATCTAATAAGCAATAGACAATTTAAAATGACGTCATCCCTCTCCCCCACCTGTCTCCGCTAGCCACATTTTACTAGTTTAAATTTCGTGTTTAGATACTAAAATCTAGGATTCTGGTAGTGGTCTTAGATTTGATGATTTTTTACACAAAGTCTGTAATTGCTCTCAACCCTTTGCTGTAAAAGGTCGTAATTTATCGATCAGTGTTAGTATCACAGTCGGTTATTTCAGCCGCCAAGCAGCTTGTAAGCTGTGTCGGTTTTATAGTTAAGATAAGGCAGTGAAATTATAGGGTCATGATATCTTATTGCCATATAAGAAATTAGACTTGAAACGGTTCGGATATTCGTATCCTGTGTTGGCAACACTGGTCATATTGTTTGCCATTGTAATTTCATAAATAAATGTGTGCAGGTGAACTGTATCTCCACTGAGTTCACTGCCAAGAAGCATGGCGGTGAGAAGGGAGTGCCGTTCCGCATCCAGGTGGAGACGTACTTCGGAGCTGACGAGCTCAGTCGCCTCCACGCCGCCGCCTGTCAAATTAAGGTACTAAGTGATATGTCGGATCATTAAGAATGTAAATCCGCGGATACGGATCCCAATACGGATATTTGATGTCCAGATCCGCGGATTTTTATTTTCTTATTCAATCAGTATCGGCGCGGGAACTCATTCAATCAGTATATTATTATCAATATTTAAACAAGTCGAAAAGATTGTTGACAGAAAAATGTGCATGGCAATAGTTGTTCATGCACGGGATTTTCAATTAATATTAGACGTAGACCATAGTCAGATGTCCTCCATTTTGCAATAATAATTAATTATTAAAAGGTACTAAAGCACTTTTTCTACGTATATTGTGTTTGTATTTACAAAATAAAGTATTTGAGTATTTCTATCAATTGTACCCAAAACACAAGCTCTGCTTAGCTTGGAACAAGCTAGCTCTGTATGAATTCTTCAGGATTATTTTGTTATTATTGTGCTACGTTGTTAAACTTGCTTAATTAAATATTTATTGTTACCAGGTGTTCAAACTGAAAGGTGCGGACAGAAAACATAAGCAAGACAGAGAGAAAGTGATGCGGCGGCCTCGCTCCGACCTGGAGAAGTACCAGCCGGGCTGCGAGGCGACTGTACTCACCACCGTATGTGACATACATACATACACATCCAGTTTATGTAATATCGGTCATATGGGGAGGAGAGGATAGTTAATGGTCCCATTACTAACAATATGTCATTTCGGAATCCCCCGGACACGATCGTTTCTTTTATGTGTAATGTAATGTTGTTTAATGTGTAATGTAATGTTGTTTAATGTGTAATGTCACATTACACATTAAACAAAATCCCTTAAGTTTTACAATGGTGCACCCGCCTGCGCCGCTTTAAGCTAGCGGGGTACCAGAGAAGAATGATAGCATGAGCATGGGGTCAGTTCAGTTAGTTCATCGAGACTAATTCACTAGCATTTAATCACGATGTTTGATGAATGAACCGCGTGGATGTCAACCTGACATGGTATATTGCTACCAATAAGATCATTAATCCACATTAGTAACGATGTAAAGAATACGAGCTGAGTTTCTTGTCTCTTCTCATCTCGAAATCATTCCGAACTGACGGTAGATTTGACATATCATAAGAGTCTGTAGACCTACATGAATAAAGATATGATTTAATGGACCTGAGTTCCTTCCTCGCAAGTATAGGGTTGCCGATTCTGTGTAATAAATAATATTTGTGGTTTGGTTTGCGTATTGATAACATAAGAAGTGGGAGTAATGAAAGATTTAATATAAAATTACGAAGTATGTAATATTGATAATATATAGAAAAAAAGAACAAATAAAAATTACAGATTACTGTTAGACTATACAAGGTTATTAGACTAAATTAATGACAATACCTTTTATACCTTTCTATGTCATCATCTGCTTCTTCCTTATCCCATTTATTTGGGGTCGGCGTAATATGTTTTTCGTTTCCATTCATCCCTGTTCGCAGTCATATTGTTATTTACTTCCTTTCTTACCATATCATCTTTCACACAGTCCATCCATCTCTTTTTCGGCCTTCCTCTGCCCTTATAACCATTTTTATTCCTTTCTATGTATATTGTGTATATATTTACAAAAAAATGTATCAAAGTATACCTACCAGTGGTCTAATACTCATAACACAAGCTCTACTTATCTCGTGACTAGATAATACTGTGTTAATTATACCGGTTAATATTTTTATGGGTGATATTTTCTTGTCAACAGTTATCCCACGACGCTTTGATGCCGCCTCCGTCTTTAGTCACCACCTCACCGCCATATTCTCCTGAGATGTGGTAAGTCAATGTCAGGATATGCAGAGATAATTTGACTTTGGGTAAAGCCACACAGTGAGACAAAGGTACCCACGCAGGATACCTCTGTCTCACCCATTTCAATCAGCCGCTGTACACCAGTGAGATATAGTAGTGAAATTCCAAGGTACAGAGGCATGACATATAATACTAATAGTAGACTTTAATAAACAATCTTTCTTAAACAATATTTATAGTAAAATTATTTAATTATTTAACACCAGTATGTGAAAGTCATCTTGCTGTCCAGTATAGGCCTTCCCTACAGTTCGCCATCAAATGCGATTCTGCGCCTGTCTTTTCATATATACTTTTTTATAATATTTATGTTATTTTTTTAATATCATCTTGCCACCTACTATAGTGTCTCCCCGTTTGTTTGCTTTCCTTCTTTTATATTGTCTCGGGCACCAGTCTGTATCATCCTTAGACCATTTATCCTTCTTGCTCCTAATTATATGTCCTACCCACCTCCATTTTAGTTTCTTAGTACAGTAACATCTCAATGTATCTAGTTTTCTTCCTTATTGAATCTAGTTTAATTTTGTTGTTAAGTGTGCTTCGTTCCGTGCTGTGTTGGCAAGTTTCTAATACAGTGGACCCGCGGTAATCCGGCCTCTGTCTAATCCGGCCCCCCTTGTAATCCGTCATTGTCTATTATTTGTTATTGAATATTACTTTGACAATATACTTCAGAGTGCATATACATACATACATATATAACATAGAATCTTATCACTGGATCTGTAATTTGTCGGATTACAAGATACTCTTTTGTAAAAATTCCGGACTATAAGCAGAGGACCCTTAAGCAGCACTCTATAATCCGACAAATACGATGGTCCGACACTGCCCTGCAAAACGTTTGTCGGATTACAAGGTACTCTTTTGTAAAAAAAATCGGACTATAAGGGGTCTTAGGCAGTACTCTATAATCCGACAAATTCGATAGTCCGACACTGCCCTGCAAAATGATTGTCGGACTACCGGGGGTCCACTGTATATGTATGTTATTATTAGTTAAGCTCCAAGTTGATATCGTTACACAAGTTAGTCCTTAATACCAGAGAATCCACACACCAGAGGTATAAAGTCGTCTACATGTGTACCTCAGCCTCACCTATTTCAGCCGCCAAGCAGCTTGCTTTGTGAGCTGTTTCGGTGCTAGGGTACAAATTAGGCAGTGAAATTACAGGATAACAGGCGTGACATCTAAATAATCTGGAATGTCCACGCATGTTACAACAATCACAGTACAACTTGAAGTCCGTGGTACTTTTTTTTATAGTCCGTGGTGCTATTCATGTATAAGAGGCAGTTGCTGTTTACCCTTAAGGGTGAGCTTGTTTGTTGGAACATAGTAAAATAAATGCGGTTTATGTTAATTGTAGTTGTATTTTATTAATGCAAGGAAAATTGTAACAATGATGCTTGTAACATTTTTTTTAATTACGATCACTTTGGTATACCAATTTAAGATGTTCTTTATATATAGCGTTGCCAAGTCTTTATAATAAATAATATGTATTTATTTTTATACGAATCAAAAAGCTAAAGTTGCCGCACGAATTCATAAGAGGTAAATAAATACGCCACGATTTGTAGTGAGTTAGACTAGTAGATCCATTATATTATACACGGAAACTTTCACAGGAGTTACCCATGATAAACCGTTCACTACTTTTTGAGATTGTCGCAAATATTCATACAGGCTCATGTTGTGCCTGCTGCTTAGCGTACCCTTTTCTGACTTTCCCTAGATATATATTTTTTTTTTAATACTAAATTTATACGTCTAACCGCAATCTTACCCTATGTTAAGTGATAATGCGGTCTAAGCTGTTACACGCAAGCTCAAACAGTGCCTATTCACTCTTGACTTGAAAGACCCAATGTTGTAAGAAATATAGCACTGATACTGGAGGAAAGTTCTATTCCTTAACTGCTTGCATAAGGAAAGAGGATGCAAATCGGTTGGTAGGAGCAGCAGGGATGTCAACTGCATGGTGTATATATTAGTATTCAAGGGATGAATGAAATGTTTTCTTTAAAAGAAAAATAGTCTACGGTTGGTTACCTACCATTTGAAGGGTGGATTTTTAGTAATGGGGAGGCCCCATGGCTAACAACTGAAGATAAGACTAGATATAGTTGTAATTAATGTTTGTTGGGCATTTATTTATTTATTATATATATATATATTTACTTTAAAAGACTTGTATCCAAAGCCGTAAAGCATAATAAATAAAAAAAGGGAAGCCATAAAAATCGATTATCGATGGAAAATTTAAAGACAATTGAATGAATAATTATGAATATAAAAAAATTTTGAATTGTCACAATTTTTTTTTTTCTATAAAAGCAATAAATCAACAAATAGTACGGAGAAATGTAATCCTTTTTATCGATGTCGATAATCAAACATATATAAAAATAATAATCTTTTCACTGTACTATTTCATGATTTATTGATTTCATCTTTATTACGTGGTAGATTTATGACGATCGCCGTTCATCATTTTATATATCGTCAATACGAGTTTATAGTTTTTAGCCCCGCTCGTAGCTTCATAAAGCGATAATTATTGATAAGTATTTGAATTGAATAATATTTTTATCAGAAAGCCGTTTCAGATAGCAAGAACAAACAGACATGAAATTGTTTTTTTTATTTGAAATTACACAGTCAGTTTAAGGTATAATATTAAATTACCTTCTAATCTTACTTCTCACTAATAACGGAAGTTTGTGAGTGTGGATGGTTGCATGGATGGATGTTTGTTACTCTTTCACGCAAGAACTACTGTTTTAAATTTCACAATAATATAGCTTATACATCAGAATAACACATAGGCTATAAATTTCGCGTGGGTGAAACCGCGGGCACAGCTAGTTAGTAATAATAATAATACCTCGTATTAAGATATTTGAAATTACGAATTGTGACAGTCATTCATAATTTATTACAATAAATGTCACGAGGCCTGAAGTTGGTGTCACATACTGAAATTAATGCTATAAATTGCCACAATTGACCGCCGGGTCCCGATGAATACATTCATGAGCGATTTCTAACGTTGTTTTCGTATATAGTGTTCTTGCGTAATATATGTAACAGTACGCAATTGTCTGACTTCTTTTTATTATATTTTTGTTAAAGGGTTTTACTTGGATTTTATAGGCTACTATCTGACCCACACAATTTCTACATCCACATCAGACATGATTTTTGTTCATTACATTTGCCTAACTTAGATAATACCATTTTAAATTGTATTCTGATTATTTTTACGTATAAAACTATATTATTGTAAAATTTCATAAAAATTCATCCATCCATACTCACAAACTTCCGTGTTTATAATATTAGGTGCTTAAACCTGTAGCACTGCGACTTGTAGAGATCTACTGTTCTCGCCCTTTTTACAGTTCGGTACCTAAGCTTCAAGAATTGAAGGATTATATTTTAGAATTCTTCGGAATTATTATTTTTATCAACTACAATTAGAAAGGGGATGAAAGTTTGTAAAAATGAAGCTAATGTAACAGCTAGTTTTAAAATAATTGGATGTTACTGTAATAGAAAAATATTTTTTTATTTGTATTAATCAAGTCCTACTCTTCTTACATTAATTATTATTTTCTAATCTTTTTGATTTGTTAATTTACTAGCTAAGCATATTCCACCAACCAAACAAACAAATTCATCAGCTACAAAAATTTGTATAGAAGTACAAAAGTTTATATCAAACCCGCTACCGTCGGTTGTAAGACGATGTTCTAAACCTCTACACCACAGGGCCTAAAGAAATGTTTATGATGATGACTAAGATAGACACCAATAAATCCGGTTATAACCACTTCATGACCTCAAGACCAACATCACTGTTCTCACACAATGCACAATTGCAATTGCTCATGGAATTTATTACTGTCATTATGAACGGTAATAGTTAGGATACGGACATATTAAACAACTAGAATTTTATGGGATTTGTATTAATTTTAATATTTACTGAGGTAGACGCATGAGTGGTACCGCTATTGATAACGTAATGTTGAATGCGCTGTTCATGTATAAAGGCTACAGTTACCACTTACCAGCGGTCAGCTTGCTTAGCATTGCAGTTAAAAAAAATGTTTTTATTAGTTACACAAAATCTTAGAAGTAGAAATATAGAACATCATTTATTAAAATTTGTTTGATTCTTACTTGCTTGTTGCTCACAAGCAAGTAACAATCTTGTTACCTAATAAGTGGTAGAAAATGACTATTCAAAATTGCTTATAAATTAAATAAAATACAAAAATTGTATTTTTATCTTTTAATCAATTGTGCTACTAACATTTAACCGTACCTTCGTCTGCATTATTAGCTTTAAAGTTATAGACAACTTTCTAGAAAACACCATCAATCCTTACATTAAATGATACCAATATAATGTATATATATAATAATATCGATCAGTTTACACGTCTAAAAGTATAGAACCAACAGATTGGGTGATTTTCGTATTTACAACATTGCTATGCGTATACAAAATATGTGTACCCATTTCATGAGCGAAATTCATGACCATACAGCTCGTAATAATTATAAATAACCATTATGTCTAGGCATTGCGTCGTCCTCTCAAAATGGAAAATTCCGACATCTAAAGTTTCCTGCGCAAAAATTGATTTAAGCCATTATTCTTCATTTTATTTCAGAATTGTTGGTGACATGAAGTAATTAGGTGTTGTTTGAATGTGAGATACTTGATGTGAAATTATTAATGTTTTCGATGATGCCTAAATTATTTGACTTATGGGTCAAAACTGTTTTATGCTTGATTGATATTATTACACGAATATGCTAATGTTGATCATAACAGTTTATTTGGACTGACAAATACCAAGTTCGGTGTAGAAACCGTTCGGAACTGAACCCTATCGGTACTAACATTAATCCATACTACGTACTATACAATAATATTGTAAAT